AAGACCAATGGATAAGTGTTTTCAAACCAAATATTATCAAATACTCATTCTTTTAACCTTAGCCCCATCAGCATTAATGAATGTAGGGGTTATAGAGCTATATTTACACTCGTGAAAGTATTTCTCTGCCACATTCTCTATTTTTAGGCCTAATGTTCTTCTTTCTCTTTTTGGCATCTCTTACTAGAAAGCCGAATTAGCGGATTTCACTAGCTGATTTTACTGTGCTCATCAGATAATCCCCATATAGTTCTTTGACAACTTGCAGCCTTAGTCTTTTTGGCTAATTTTTAAATCTATACTTCCTAGTTTCCTATTTTTCCACTGCACTATAAATCACCATTTCTATTGGCTAATCACCTTCAAACCTAGTATGCTAATACGCCAGCTCGGTGAATAGAGACAGATTGCTTTAGGCCAGGACAGGTTGGTTATTTTGGCTTACTTCACAGTTTATTTTACGTTATCATTATTGTTGGATTGGTTGGTGTGACTCAAAATCCTACCATGCTCTCTGCATTATTGATTGAATACAATTTTCGTAGAGTTGTTTTTTAAGTTGGTTATTCTATTTAACAAGTCTCAATCAAGCTCAAATAGCTTTAGCCATCTAATTGACTTAAATTTGCGTTGTCACATACAAATGTATATATATATATATATATATATATATATATATAGTGTTTGCATATATGTTTCTTTTGGTTTGTTTATGATATCCTATTGAAAGTTGTTTATGTTTTGCATAAACGTTGTCATACCTCGGTAGCTATTATCGAGTACACCTCATTGGTCTTTGTTGATATATGTATGTTCGAGGAATCCGGTCAATGTATTAAATTATGCCTTTACGCACTTTGACTGAGATTGACGCTACTAAGTTTAACACTGAGCACTTAATTCCTTTAGATAGTTGTTACACTTTATTCAGAGCCCTTTATCCATGGTATTGTCTTCATACAATCCTACATTTCATTCTGGCCTTGACCTGCAGAGATGTGCAGTTTTGATAGTTTTTAGGTGGTTATTACTGCCTTAATATTTTATTTAAAATCACTCACATCAAGTCTCCAAATTCATTTTTTGGTCATGCATTTATCACTGATATACTGAAGTAAAATGAATTTAAACTCCCATGACGCTAATCTCTTTTGCCTTTAACTATATTGCGAAAAAGTACTTATCATTTTGATAAATTTCTGATGGCGTTAGACTTACAATTGCAAATTAAATGTCATTTCAGAATTAGCGTTGATTCCAAATTGAGCTAGTCGCTTTAAAGACATAGAAGATTACGCTAGGTAAGGGGAAAACATAGATTCCCGGTGCGAAAAGCTGTCTACTTGTAGAAATCATGATTGAGACAACCTTCATTTAGAGGCCTTTCACAATCTGTTTTGAGAGGGTTGCCAGAAAGCAGAACTGTTTAAAAACCCAAGTCTTCCATGTATCATAAAAGAAGAACTCTTATAATTCGAGTTTATTTAAGTATATTCCAGTGTTGTTTTGCCATTTTAAAGTTTTTGTTCTTAATTTTACCATTTTTATTACAAAAAGTTCGAAGGGATTTTTTTCAATTTCCTCACTGATGTAGCCCCTAAATAAAGTTTACTTCTAGTGACCAGTTTTGCTGCTGCCTTATGGAATGGCTTAACTTGCTTCATATCCGAATCGAGTAGGCTTCAAAAGTATCAGTAGGTCTTGTCCCTTTATTCTAGTTTTCGATAAGTAATCTCCGATCTTGACTGAATGGAATACAGATTCACTTCCTACCAGTGACTTTGTTTCTCTTCCCTGTTACGATGTCTAGTATTTTGACCAAAGCGCTTCGAGTTCTTATCGTTTCGCAGATATTTTGTTCCACGGTTTTCTCCGGTTAGCATAAGGATGCATTGGCATTTTCACTGCTTATTAAATCTTTGTAACTTGATCTTATTCCATTCGATAGAACTTATTCAATAACCGTAGGTAGCCTTTCTATTTTTATTTAAACTTCACATTTAACATGATACTTTTGGAAACTTAGTTTAGCTGAATACCTTGATATAATTATAGTCTGTATTTATATGAACGTGTAAAATATCAACTAGCTGGTCCCATCGAGCAGTGACAAATAGTTATCCCTGTATTATCAGAGTCTCTGACTGCCATTTCATCCATCCTTAGGCATTCGAGGATGATTTAGAGAGTAGCGGAACTAGTCCTACCTTTGATATTTACACTACTTATTTCGTCTGCTGTCTTTCGCAGGCGAAAGGATTTTTTTATTCCTCACATTTATTATTTTTAGCCCTCGTGAATTCTTTACGTGTTACCGTATATCAACTGAAGACTGGTGGCTCAAAGAAATTTGTTCATCTATAATAATTTATTCTTTTGTAAAGTCATACACAGTTTCTTAAACATTTGTATATATGTTTAATTTTCTTCACGCCTCTATTTTTTCCCCAGCCTTTTCCTCACGGCTTGCTTGCGAGGAAAGTTTGCCTGGACAGACACGGGATTGGAATGAAGAAGCCCAAGTGGTACATGAGCTACCGCAGGCTAGCTTCACGGAGCGCCTCCTGCGTGATCGCTCAATCTTTAAATCGAATAGCGATTTCGTTGCGGCTGCAACTCGGGCTGCTGTCTCAGTAGTTAACGGGGACGTTGCTCCTCTCAATCCAAGTGAACCCAAGAAGCAACAGGCCTTCATTTGGAATAACATTTTCTTCTCTCTTGGCTTCGATATCAAAGATCATTACAAAGAGTTCGGTGGTGATGCCGCAGCCCATGCAGCCACGGTAATTTTAGGATATTTTAGCTAACACCGGCAAGTTTTGTTAAATATTTAGGTTGCTTGACCTTGTTTTCATAACTTGTCAGGAGTCCATGGTATCCATGTTAATTTCCTGAGTCAGACCGTTGATTTGGTATATTCCTAGAAATTTCGTCCGTATCGTCAGTAAGCCTTGCCATTCTTAGCACCACACTACAGCCCGTCGAAGAGATGAGTGAAGTCGATGACTGACCAGAAGTTACAACGTGTCTTGGATTCGGTAAATAGGAGGCATGACAAAAAATTGCTTAGATATGGGATAATAATGCTAGATGGTCACAATCTCTATAATAATATGTTCTAAAATCTTTACTTCGCTACCTATTCGAAAATGTAACCTCTTCAGGATATCCATAGTTTTGGAATCAAGAGAAACTGAGGACAAATTCACTACTTTATCCCTATCGTCATTTGGAGCAGTTGATGCCGTGATTACAGAAATATCATAGTTTGGTCGAGTTGGCTGAATTCTGTGCTGTCTTATCATCCTATATCTAAGTAATTTCTTGTCATGTCTCTTAATTATCAATTCACGAACCTTCTGTGACTTCTGTTCAATCATAGGCGTCACTTACATGAGCTATATTCACTATTGAAGTTCACTTAGTCTTGCTTCCTTAAAAGCTATTCTCAGGGTGGACTGCAGTTTCGATCTCGCCTAGGTCTCATCAGCACCCTTAGCGGGACTTGTCTTGGACTTTGCTTGTCTTTTTTG